TGAAAATTAATGAATACAAGCAAGATAAAGTGTTTTATACTACTGATTCTAAAACTACCATCTAACTAACTGAAACTGAACGTAACTAACTAGGCAACTAAATAAAACAGTTAAGTTACAATGGGCTTGGCTTTATTGAGCCCAATATCATTAGTGTCCAGTAACACCCCCCCCCCCCCACAAGCTTGGACGGGTTGATGAATGTCCCGAAGACCAAGCTTGGCATGAAGCATGTTAAATGGAGATGGCAGTAAAGCCTTGGTGAAGATGTCAGCGATCTGATCAGTAGTTGAAATTGGAAGAAGATGCAGGAGCCCAGATTGAATCTTCTCACGGGTGATATGACAATCAAGTTCAATGTGTTTTGAACGTTAATGAAAAACAGGATTGTGAGAAAGATAAATAGCTGAGTTGTTGTCACAGAACACTGGTATTGGCTTCTCTCGTGGAATGCAAAAATCTTGAAGAAGAAAGGACAGCCACTGAATTTCACACGTGATTGCAGCCAGAGCCCGATACTCGGCTTCGGTAGATGAGCGAGAAACAGTTGTCTGTTTCTTCGATCTCCAAGATATGAGAGAAGAACCCAGAAAAACACAAAAGCCTGTGACCGAACGACGAGTGTCAAGGCAACAAGCCCAATCTGCATCAGAAAACCCACTGAGCTGAAGTGAGGAATCTGCAGGGAAGAAGAGACCTTGAGCTGGTGAGGCCTTGAGGTATTTAAGAACACGATGAGCAGCTTCCAGGTGAATATCAGTTGGAGCAGATAGGTATTGACTGAGTTGATGAACACTGAAACTAATGTCAGGACGTGTTGTTGTAAGATACAACAAACGCCCAATAAGCCTACGATACCCAGATGCATCAGGCAAGAGTTGTCCCAAGTCACGACGAAGACGTAGTGAGGAATCCGTGGGAGTGTTAACAGCTTTGCAAGCTAATAAGCCAGAGTCAGAGAGCAATTCCAAAGCATATTTTCTTTGATTTAGAATAATACCTGAAGAGGATCGAGATACTTCTAAACCCAAGAAAAATATGAGTTGTCCCAAATCCTTTATCTTAAACTTCATATCAAGAAAGGACTTAACTTTCGTGATTTCTGCCATGTCATCACCAGCAAGTATGATGTCATCAACGTAGATAAGTAATGCTGTGAAGGAAGTGTCATTTTTCTTGGTGAAAAGAGAAAAGTCAGCTTGGGACTGAAGATAACCGAGAGACAGTAATGCAGTGGAAAGTTTTGAGTACCATTGCCTACTTGCTTGTTTGAGGCCATATAAGGACTTGTGAAGCTTGCAAACCAATGAAGAATCTGAAGAAGGAATACCTTGTGGCAAAGCCATGTAGACTTCCTCATGCAAATCCCCATGGAGGAAAGCATTGTTGACATCAAGCTGTTCCAAAAACCAGTGTTTGGAAGAAGCTAGGGAGATGAGCATTCGGACAGTGGTGAGCTTAGCCACTGGACTGAATGTGTCAAGGTAGTCCAATCCCTCAGTTTGTGTGTAACCTTTTGCTACAAGGCGAGCCTTATGTCTCTCAATGGAACCATCAGCATGGAATTTGATCTTAAACACCCACTTACACCCAATGGTGTGTTTGCCAGGAGGAAGGGACACAAGGCTCCATGTGTTATTATGCTCAAGAGCTGAGATTTCTGCTTGCATTGCTCTACGCCAACAGTCATGCTTGGAAGCCTGGAGATAAGTCTTTGGTTTTATGTGTGTGGTGATATTACAACAGAAATTTTTGTATGTAGTAGAGAAATTGGCATAGGATAAAACAGAAGAAAGGGGATGAGGAATTAAAGAGGAGAGAATACCTGAGTGAGATGGATCTGGTGATGTAGCTGATAAGTTACAGTGATAGTCATGCAAGTAAGAAGGCTGTCTACTCAATCGATTGGACCTGCGTGTGGGAGCAGGCAAGGGTTGGGGTGGATGATCTGGAAGAAGGGATGATGGCAAAGAGGTGGTGTTAGGTGGAACAAGGTTGTCAGGTATGGCAGATGATGGAATGGGTGGAAATGGTAAGAAAGCAGAATCAGGGTTATGAGGAAAGGGAGATACAGGGGGTGGATGTATAGGTGGTTGGTGAACAACAAAAGGAAATTGATTTTCAAAAAATGTGACATTTCGGGAAAAGAATATTTTTCTGGTGTTTAAATCCAAAAAGATGTACCCTTTAACCCCATCTTGATAACCTAAGAATACTGTTTTATGAGCCCTTGGAGAAAATTTTGTTCTATGAGACAAAAGAGTAGATGCATAGGCTAAACAACCAAAAACCTTAAGATGAAGTAAGGTAGGAGACTAATTGAAAAGAATGTCATATAGAGTGAGGTTGTTCAGTAAAGGAGTAGTGGTTCTGTTGATAATGTGAATGGCGTGTGTGATTGCATAAGACCAGAAAGGAAGAGGTAATTTGGACTGAAAAATAATAGCTCGAGCTACATTCAATATGTGTTGGTGTTTCCTCTCAACAACACCATTTTGTTGGGGATTCTCCACACAAGTCTTTTGGAGAAGTATACCCTTCTCATGGTAAAAAGGAGTCATAGCAAATTCAGCACCATTATCGGATCGAATGCATTTTACAGTTAAGTTAAACTGAGTTTGGACCATTAAAATGAAATGTTGCAGTGACTGTCTTGCATCAGCTTTGGATTTAAGTAACATAGCCCATGTAAAACGGGAAAAATCCTCAACAATGGTGAGGAAATATCTATGACCATGAATAGAGGGGATGGAATAAGGTCCCAAAATATCAACATGAATTAGTTGAAAAACAGAAGAAGTTTTGGTAGTGCTAATAAGGTAAGGTAGTTTGTGCTGTTTTGCAAAGTGACAAGCATCACAAGGAGAAATGTCTTTAACAGAAATGAAAGGGAACTTTATTGCCATATGTTTCAAAGTATGAGTGGATACATGTCCTAGCCTAAGATGCCATAACATGGAGGCATCAGTATTATTAACAGAATGATCAGATACATGAAAAACAGAAGTATGTGGCTTGCTGTCAGTATTATTGTTTTTAACAGTAGAAGGACTTGAAGACTTCATCACATATAACCCATCAGTTTGATCAGCTGAACCAATCATCACATTGGTATGCATCTGTTTAATGAGACAATAAGAGGCACGAAAAATTAGATAACAAGGAATAATATAAAGTAATTTAGTAACAGATACTAAATTGACATGAAAAGAAGGAACAAATAAGACATCAAGTAAAGTCAAAGTGGGAGACAGAATAACTGTACCAGCAAAATTAGCTGTGGTGTGTGAACCATCAGGCAGAGTTATTGAAACAGGGTTGATTTTGAAAAGATTGGAAAAATGAGAAGGTGAACAACTGATATGGTCAGTGGCTCCTGTGTCAAGGAGCCACCTAGAAGAAAGTGTACCTGACATAGGAGCAGTGTTGGCATTTAAAGCAGTGGTATGGACCAAATTGGTGGAGCTAAGTGGAGTAGCTTCAGTAGAAGTGCCTAGATGCAAGCCTTGAATCAAATTCTGATATTCCTCATTGGAGATAGTCATCATTCCTTCTTGATTGTCAATTCCTTCAGTAGTGTCAATATTTTCTTGAGAGGCAAAATGAGCCATTGGATTTGGACCCCTGGACTTAAATCCTGGAGGAAAGCCATGCTTCTAGTAACAAGTATCAATGGTGTGATGGGGTTTGCCACAGTAAGTGCAAACCTTAGGTGGACCACGACCCTTACTGAGATATGCAGGAGTTGTGTTATGACCCCTGCCTCTACCAAAATAAGGTCGATGTTGGCTATCAGAGAAGCTGTTAAAAGCTTTAGTTTCACCATTGTCATCAATTAACAATCCACAATGCATTTGTCGTTCTCGTTGAACTACCAGAGAAAACACACGAATCAAGCTAGGAAAGGGATCCATCATCATAACCTGGGAACGAACATGAGCATACTGCTCATTAAGGCCTTTGAGAAACCTAACAATTTGATCACGGTCTCTGTAGGTTCTCATCAAGGCATAACCTTCACACACACAAGGATTAACACATCGACACATAGGCAGTGGTTTGAGATTGTCAAGCTCATCCCACATGATTTTCATTTGAGTGAAGTAATCAGTTACTGACCTATCACCTTGGTGCATGCGGTACATTTCTTCTTGTAAATCAGAAATGCGAAAGATATCTGAATGAGAAAACCTTCAGCGTAGATCAGACCAAGCATCATTGGCTCGATCAATCCAAAGAATGGATTTTGCAATAGAACTGTTAATTGAACGGTGAATCCATGATAAAACAATCATGTTGCAGCGCTGCCATGCAGAGAAAGAGGGATCATGCTCTGGAGGTGGAATAATAGTGCCATCCACAAAACCTAATTTGTTTTTGCTCAGAAGAGCCATGGTCATAGATCTGGACCAAGAATGATAATTCCTCTCATCAAGAGGAGGTGAAACAAGCACCAAACCTGTATTTTCACTTGGATGCAAGAAAAATGGATTTCCAGGATTTGTATAGAAATCCGGAAGAACATTGGTTGGAATTGCCATGAGTATGAATCCAAAAAGAAGGAAAGAAAATCAAGAAAGGAAGCAGAAGATCAGAGAAGCGAACAGAAAGAAGAGGAAGAAGTGAAATCTGATACCATCTTATGATACTAGAATCACCATGCAAGAACCAAAGAAGAGAGAAGATGAAGAAATGAAGAATCTGAATATTTCATAAACTGAAAATTAATGAATACATGCAAGATAAAGTGTTTTATACTACTGATTCTAAAACTACCATCTAACTAACTGAAACTGAACGTAACTAACTAGGCAACTAAATAAAACAGTTAAGTTACAATGGGCTTGGCTTTATTGAGCCCAATATCATTAGTGTCCAGTAACAAGATTTGGTGCTAAGAAGTGATAAAGGAACCATAACAAAGATTTGAAGCCCAATCTGCAAGATCTTAAATAAAAAAAGAAACAAATCAAGATTTGATTGGAAATTGATAGAGATTCATGGGGAGACTTGACGAAGAATTAAAAGATATGGCTTCAAAGGTTATAAATAGGAAGCTTAGGGTCAATGGAATAAACGAATTCACCAATCCAGAGAATTACACAGAGACCTGGAGGAGGAATCCTGTTGCGGAGCGTTGGAGCACTGAGGAACCAAGTCAACACACACCAATGGAGGCTTGGGGTTCTCTTTTCTTTATTATTGCTTTTGAATTCAGTATGCTATGCTAGATTTTTATGTAATTAGGGGTAGATTGAACCCAATAGAATCGTATGTTTTGAATTAAATTGTCTCCGAACTCTTTTCTTTTTATTTTTGAATAAATTTATCTGTCTTTAATGCTTTCTTTGAGTTTGCTCCTTATAGATTGATTTTGGGGAATTGTATGACAATAGGGATGTTGGTGCCTGAACCCTAACTTGGTAAATTTATCATAATCCTTGTAATCTAGGGATAGGCATAGGGCAATTGGGCAATCTTTAAATTCTTAATCTTAATGCAGGTTTTCTTGGGAAATGATCGGGGAACTAGAGTTCTTTTAAGATCACATAGATTTAGGGTATATTAAGAAAGGATTCTTGACAGTTTAATTCATAGAATATAGAGGAGATTGGGGGAAGTCGAAACTCTAACTACGCTTGTTTTAAATCTTTAATCAATCATCTTTTCAATTGCTTTCTAATTTTGAATTTTAATTTTCATGTTATTAATTATTTTTAATTTCACTTCTCTTCATCTCAATATTTGTTGTCCAACTAAATCGTTGTTAGCGAACTAGTGCTTGAAAACTAATCCTCGTGGGAACGATCTTATACTCAGTACACTTTTATTACTTTTACGACCGGTGCACTTGTCGAAGTCGCAACAAGTTTTTGGCGCCGTTGCCGGAGATTGGATGCTTCAACATTAGAAGTAACTAAAAATTGTTTAGATTGGATGTTTTAAATTTCTGTATTAAATTTTTTTGTTTTATTGTATTGTTTTTGTTTTTTTGTTTTATTTGTAAAAAAAATTTCTTTTTATTTTTTATTTTTTTATTTTAAATTTTTTTAATTTTTTTATTTTTTATTTTTTAATTTTTAATTATAAATTTTAAGTTTTTTTATTTTATTTTTTTCTGCATTTTCCGCATTATATTTTTTTTGTTTAAATTTTCTGTTTTCTGTTTTTTTGCATAATCTTTTACTCTTAGTTTATGCAAGGTACTGTTAACCCACGATCCTTGCAGTTTGATCCTGAGATAGAAAAGATAGCCAGAAAACTAAGAAAAAGCGCAAACGAAAGAAAAGCAAAAACATCAAGCTCGACGGAAACAAAGGAAGAAACTATGGCTGACAACAACGCGATTCAGAATCCTCCCAGAACTTTGGGAGATTACATGACTCCAGCCCGAGTTCCTCAGACTTCAAGTATTGTTAGACCAACAGTGGATGCTAACAACTTCGAGCTTAAGCCAGCGCTGCTACAATTGATTCAAAAAGAGCAGTTTGTTGGAGGAAGCATAGAAGACCTTTACAATCATCTTGATGATTTTCTACTTTATTGTGATACATTAAAGATAAATGGAGTTTCTCGTGATGCCATCTTGCTTAGACTCTTCCTATGTTCTCTTAAAGAAGACGCAAGAGCTTGGCTGCAGTCACTACCTGAAGAAAGCATCACCAGTTGGGACGACCTGGCAAGGAAGTTCTTGGCCAGATTTTTCTCGGCTTCAAAGATGGCAAGACTCAAAGCTGAGATCACTGCTTTTGAACAAAAAGAAAGTGAAACCTTGTACGAGGCATGGGAAAGATTTAAAGGACTACTCCTGAAGTGTCCCCAACATGGCATTGAAGCTTGGGAGAAATGGAGAATCTTCTTCCAAGGAATGATGCCAAGCACAAGAACATTGGTGAATGCTGCAGCAGGGGGATCATTGAAAACAAAGATTCCAGAGGAAGCGCTAGAATTGCTGGAATCTTTAGCTTATCAAGAGTTTGACAATGCCCCAATCTCACGCAGGAGATCAAGGATCATGAAGCTTGACGATTATGATGTAATATTGGCCCAAAATGAACAAATATTGCAAATTAATAAGAAACAACAAGCACAATTAGATGCTCTTACAAAGCAATTTTCTAATTCTCAAGTTTCTTATGTTAATAATTCTCAAATTACTTGTGGTATTTACGCAGGAACTCACGCGACTGAAGATTGCGATTACATGAGGACACCTGAGAATACTGAAGTCAACAGAGTTTGGTACGATCAAAAGAACCAGAATAATCTGGGGAGGAACCAATATGGAAACAACTATAATCAAGGGTGGAAAAATCAAAATCAACACCCAGGATTAAGTTACAAATCAAATCATCAGCCGAATCCTCCTTTACCAATGCAACAACAGCCCCCACCACAAGGTAACACTTCAGAGTGGGAGAAAGCCTTTGCACAGCTATCCAAAACTACCTCGAACTATATTCAGAATGCAAACGCCTTTAGAGATGAAACAAGAGCTTCTCACCGGAACCTGGAAACGCAAGTTAGCCAGCTGTCAAGACAGTTCACTGAAAGAACTCAGGGCACCTTTCTGAGTAACACAGACATTAACCAAAATGCATAATGTAGGTCCGTTGTTACCAGAAGTGGAATCGTGATTCTACCTGTGGAAAAGTCTCCAGTGGAGAAGAAGAAAGAAGTTGAACCTGCAGCTGAAGAGGAGAAAGAGGAAGATGCGGGAGAAGACGAAAAGAAGCTGTTCAAATGGGAGAAAGAGAAAGGTATGGACAGGCAACCAAAGCCGGCGGATACGTCTCCCTATGCACGAGTTCCATACCCTCAAAGGTTGAAACAAGAAGTCCAGAAACAACAATACACAAAATTTTTGGATATCTTTAAGATGTTACAAGTGAACATTCCTTTCGCAGAAGCCCTGGAAAGCATGCCGAACTATGCAAAATTTATGAAAGATCTTCTATCAAAGATGCGCAAGTTGAAGGAGTGCGAAACAGTGGCCTTAACTGAAGAATGCAGTGCGATCATCCAGAAGAAACTTCCTCCCAAGCTAAAAGATCCAGGTAGCTTTAGCATTCCTATAGCCATAGGAAATATCGAAGTAGGAAAGGCATTATGTGATTTGGGAGCAAGTATAAATTTGATGCCACTTTCCATGTGCAAGGCTCTCGTAATTAGAGAGCTAAAACCAACTACAATTTCTCTCCAGTTAGCTGACAGATCGATTAGACGATCTGATGGGGTTATAGAGGATGTTTTAGTAAAAATTGACAAATTTATTTTTCCTGCAGATTTTGTAATCCTGAATATGGAAGAAGATGCAGAGATTCCTCTACTACAGACGATCTGATGGGGTTATAGAGGATGTTTTAGTAAAAATTGACAAATTTATTTTTCCTGCAGATTTTGTAATCCTGAATATGGAAGAAGATGCAGAGATTCCTCTACTACTCGGAAGACCTTTCCTAGCTACTGCAAGAGAAATGATCGATGTGGAGCAAGGAAAACCGATGCTGAGGATGAATGAAGAGACAGTCACCATTGATGTCTTCGAGTCAATGAAGCATCCGTCTGATGGAGGAGACTGTTTCATGGTTGACATAATTCAAGAAGCAGTTGATGACTCGATGAAAGAGGAGAGTTTCCCGCTTGAGTTAGAGCAAATCAACGAAGAAACTGAACTTGTTGATAAAAGACTAGCTGGCCATGCATACTATTGCTTCTTCGATGGGTACTCGGGCTACAATCAAATAGCAGTAGCTCCAGAAGATCAAGAGAAGACAACATTCACATGCCCCTACGGAGTCTTCGCTTACCGGAGGATGCCCTTCGATCTATGCAACCCTCCGACAACTTTTCAAAGGTGTATGCTTTCTATCTTTTCTGATATGATTGAAAAAACTATTAAGATCTTCATGGATGACTTTTCTGTTTTTGGCCCCTCTTTTGACACTTGTTTAGAAAATTTGTCATGTGTTTTACAAAGATGTCAAGAGAGTAACCTTGTTTTAAACTGGGGAAAATGTCACTTCATGGTCAAATATGGCATAATTTTAGGACATAAAGTGTCCAAAGATGGTATAGAAGTTGATAGAGCGAAAATATCTATTACTGATAAACTTCCCCCTCCCTCTAATGTTAAAGGTATTCGAAGTTTTCTCGGTCATGCAGGTTTTTACAGGCGCTTTATCAAGGACTTTTCCAAGATAGCAAAGCCACTATGCAAGCTGTTGGTCAAGGATGAAGAATTCAACTTCACAGAAGAATGTTTGGTTGTATTTAATATTTTAAAAGATAAATTGACCACTGCACCTATAATCACTGCACCCGATTTCACTTTACCTTTTGAATTAATGTGTGATGCTAGTGATTATGCCATAGGAGCTATCTTAGGACAAAGAAAAGATGAGCTTTTGCATGTGATTTACTATGCTAGTAAAATTCTTAATGATGCACAGTTAAATTATGCTACCATTGAAAAAGAATTACTAGCAGTTGTCTATGCATTTGATAAATTTAGACTGTATTTGTTGGGGTCTAAAGTAATTGTTTACACTGATCATGCTTCTTTAAAGTATTTGTTGAATAAGCAGGATGCAAAGCCACGACTGCTCAGATGGATGCTGCTCCTTCAAGAGTTTGAAGTTGAGATCAGATATAAGAAAGGCGTGAAAAATCTAGTAGTTGATCACCTCTCTAGGATCCAAGAAAAAGATCTTCAAGATAGACCTGAATTGAAGATCAAAGAAGAGTTCCCTGATGAACAAATATTGGCTATCAATGTCATCTCAGATATGCAAAGTACACCTCCATGGTTCGCGGATTTCGCAAATTTCAAAGCAGCAGGGAAAATTCCAGTGGACTTTACATGGCAACAGAGAAAGAAGTTTCTGCATGATGTCAAGAAATACTTATGGGATAAGCCCTTCCTTTTCTACAGATGTGTTGATGGAGTAATAAGGTGGTGCATTCCAGAAGAAGAGATGAAAGACATCTAGTGGCACTGTCATGGTTCAAGCTACGGAGGGCATTTTGCGGGAGAAAGAACAGCCGCAAAGGTTTTGATGAGTGGCTTCTACTGGCAAACACTCTACAAGGATGCAAGAAAATTTGTAAAAGCATGTGATAGATGTCAAAGAACGGGAAATATCTCCAAAAGACAGGAAATGCCCCTCGACAATATATTGGAGGTTGAAATTTTTGATGTGTGGGGAATAGACTTCATGGGACCTTTCCCCCTTCTTATGGCAACAAATACATCCTTATTGCGGAGGATTACATATCTAAATGGGTAAAGGTTGTTGCTCTTCCTTCTAATGATTCTCGGGTAGTCATTTCCTTCCTCAAAAGAAATATCTTTGTCAGGTACGGGGTACCGAGGGCGATCATCAGTGACGGAGGAACTTACTTTCACAACAGACAAGTGGAGTATGTTCTGGCCAAGTGCGGAGTCAAACACAAGATTGCCACACCCTTCCATCCGCAAACAAGTGGACAAGTTGAAATATCCAACTGAGAGCTGAAGCGTATACTGGAGAAGACGGTTGGAAGTTCACGAAGAGACTGGTCCAAAAAGCCGGATGATGCACTGTGGGCGTACCGAACTGCATTCAAAACTCCAATTGGTATGTCTCATTTCCAATTACTGTTCGGGAAGGCTTGTCATTTACCAGTGGAGCTAGAACACAAAGCACTGTGGGCAATCAAGTACCTCAATTTTGACTCCAAGACCGCAGCTGAAAAGAGACTTCTTCAACTAGTGGATGAGTTCAGGCTCTTTGCATATGAGAGCACGAGTCTTTACAAAGAGAAGACGAAGAAGTGGCACGACAAAAAGATCCTACCTCGAGACTTCAAGGTGGGACAATAAGTATTACTCTTCATCTCTCGCCTCCGCCTCTTTCTTGGGAAGTTAAAGTCTAGATGGTTAGGACCATTTATTGTGAAGAATATGAAGTCATATGGAGCAGTAGAGATCATTCTGCTGGATTCTAACAGGAGCTTCACAGTCAATGGCCAACGTCTGAAAATTATACATGGGAAGAAAAATCGACAGGGAAACAACCATGGTTGCCCTTTTAGAGGTAAAGTGAGTCAGGTACGTCAGGCTCGTGACATTAAACAAGCGCTTATGGGGAGGCAACCGTGGAATTTACTATTTTAAAAAATTTTGTAGTTTTCTTAAGTAAGAAAATACAAAAAAAATTAGTTTGAGACTAAGGTGATCAAGTGATAGTTGAAAAAGAAGACCACCAGCCTTCCAGCCTGAGCCTTATGCTGGATCTGAGGAGGAGGATGCCTATGACGCCGCACTGAGAGGGACCAGCACGTATCCGGGTACTGAGGGCCAGGATGATGAGGATGAGGATACCTTCATGACACCCGCCATTGTAAGAGATGCAGAGGACGAGGAGGAGATTGATGAATGATCACTTTAGCTATTTTCATTTTATTTCTGTTTTCTTTTCGATTATTTCTTTTTATTGTTATGGTATGAGATAACCCTTTGATGCAGTATGGTATTTCAACACTGATGACTGATAGTTTTGATTGATGCTGTTTCAGAGGAATCCACTAGTTCCTAACTCTCAACGCGATTATTTTTTTAGATTTAAATCAGTTGCTAAGGACAACAACATTTAAATCTGGGAATGGGAAACACGTAGTTCATCAGTGGGTATTGCTAAATGAACCGGAGAAACTGCATGAGTATACACGGCACATCCGGCTTGTACATGGAACTATCTCAACCTTTTTCTTTTTCTTTAATGCAATTTGAATTTGATTTTTTTTTAGAGTTTTAAAATAATAAAAACCCCAAGCCACTATTTTGTCAAAATTCTAAACATTTTACTCAGTGTTTTTAAATGGAAAAATGGCGGGAATTTTAATCAGTGATCGATTCAGAGCATGATGATGCACTCACATAAATTTTCATAATGAGCATCAATGTAATGATTTTCATGATTTATTGAATATTCTCTTTAGTGATGAAATTTTTTGAGATGAGGAATAGGAAAATTACTGTGCATTCATAGCCAAGAGGTTTTGAGCCTATACAGAATATTTTTATTGAGTGTGCATCCCACAGTATAAAGACTCTAGAACTTGCTTTGTTTCTTGCTTGAATTGGTATGTGATATATTCTATGGATATGATTGAGGCATGCTCTTTCTTTAAACTAGATGGCCAAATAGCCAACCATTGCTGACATTCCTTAGTTAAACCCATTTGAGCCTAGGCCTGTTTATTCTTTGAAAACCTATGAAGATGAATAAGCCATTTTCCATATAAATCCTCACCTTATTTGAGATTAACTTTTAGATTTGAATTGAGGAACATATGATAATTAATTGATTACATAAATTGTGATGTGTGGGAGTACAGGGAAGAAAGGCAAAAGCTAAGGAAGTAAGGTTGGTTAGAATGAAAAATAAACAAACAAAGAAAAGGAGAATTACTCAGAAAGAGGAAAAAGAAAAGAAGTGAAAAGAAAGAAGAAAACTTATTCTGAGAAAAAAGAACGACAAACAAGAGAAAAGTTCAAAAGAAAAAGAAGAAGAATGAACCAAAAAAAAAGGAGAAAGTTGTTTACAAATTGTTAAACGATTACATTTATTTCTCTTTGAATCTGAATTTTAATCTTAGAGCTCATTCTCTAAATTTTCCTTTCCTTCAACCATGCCAAGTTATAACCCTAAACAAGACCTCTTGATCTGTGAGATATGTCACAATAACTATGGAGAGCGAGAATATAAGCAAGCCTATGGTAGTGTTGATTCAGTGGGTTACAAATGAAACACCAACCCTCTAAACAGTATTGGGGTTCTCTTTTCTTTATTATTGCTTTTGAATTCAGTACGCTAGGCTAGATTTTTATGTAGTTAGGGGTAGATGGAACCCAATTGAACCGTATGTTTTGAATTAAATTATCTCAGAACTCTTTTCTTTTTATATTTGAATAAATTTATCTGTCTTTAATTCGTTCTATGAGTTTGCTCCTTATAGATTGATTTTGGAGAATTGTATGACAATAGGGATGTTGGTGCATGAACCCTTACTTGGTAAATTTATCATGATCCTTGTGATCTAGGGATAGACATAGGGTAATTGTGCAATCTTTAAATTCTTGATCTTAATACATGTTTTCTTGGGGAATAATCAGGGAACTAGAGTTCTTTCAAGATCACATAGATTTACGGTAACAAGAAATTGAGCCCTAATTAAGTTAGAAAGAATTGATTGGCATTATATTAAGAAATGATTCTTTACAGTTTAATTCATAGCATATAGAGGAGATTGGGAGAAGTCGAAACCCTAATACGCTTGTTTTAAATCTTTAATCAATCA